GGCAAGAGCTCTCTCGTGTGCTGTCCTTAGAAAGACACCAGTCCACACCCATGATAACTCATTACTCCATGAATGGATTAATCCGTTTTGAAAGCATAGTCCTCACAATCTAATCACCTCTTTAAGGCCTCACCTTCTACCACCATATTGGGGTTAAGTTCCAGCATGAGCTTAGGGGGACATTCAAACCATAGCAGTCAGGAAAAGCAAGGGGTTGGCTTTGAGCTGGACTTGAAGTCTGGATAGAATGTGGAGGGGAGTGGAAGCTTTTCCAGCGGGTGGGGCAGACAGGACGTGTAGAAGCAGCGTAAGCAGCTGGGGCCCAGCAAGAAGGCAATGCTGGCTGGAGTGGAGGGTCATGCCAGGGAGCCAGGCAGGAAGGCTGAGAGGTCAGCCTGGCCCTGATTGTCCCAAGTGTCGGGTAAGGAGTGTGGCCTTCATTCGTGGGACCGATTGTTTCTGCTTGTGGACCAGGGGTTGACCCCCTGGCCAGGGCCAATGCTCTCCAGGCTGATGATCTCTGGAGATGAAGAATATTCTACCAATAAGTACAAGGGTGCAGACAGTAGAGACTTGGGTTCCCAGGGCCACAGGACTTGAACGAGCCATGTTTTTGTAGTGGCCGGCGTGCCCTGAATGGAGCCCTTGTAGGATTCAGATGGGGGAGGTCTTCCAGCTGGTGTCGAGCAAAGGAGAAAGGTGCTGCTGGGCTTGCAAAGGAGAGGGGGCCAGGGGTACTGACCACAAATGTTTGCCTTTCCCAGCCTCTCCCTTTAGGAGGCCCCGTTATTCTGGCAAGCCGTTGCACCAACATCAGAGCCACAGTCCCCATATGTCCTCTTTCCCCATTCAGTCACTCTGTAAGCTTTTGTGGTCTTCAGAGTCCCTGGGTGCCATTCAAGTCCATACCACCCCACCTAAAGTTCCTGTCATTCCCCTGCTCACCGTTTTCCATGGCCCCCTCTGCCACCAGAGTTAAATGCCGGTTCCTTTGCCAAGCCTTTAGGGTCCTGAGCCATATGACTGGAGCAACTTCTTCAACCTCGTCACCCAGTTCTCCACTTGCAGCCTCTGCTTCTGCCAAATGCCTGCTCTTCCTTCCTCTGCACCTCTGTTCAGCCTCGTCCTGAATGGCTCCAGAATGAACACCTACTCACCCTCCAGAGCCCCGCTCCAGGGCTGCCCTCGCAAAGCCGTGTCCCTCCCCCCAGCTACCAGGCTACCAGCCTTTCTGACTCTTGCCTGCCCCTCCTCACGTTGCACTTTTTTTTAACCAAATTTTTTTCTCTGCTTTGCACAGTAGTCCTTGAGTACTCCCCTGTGTCCTCTCCTCCCCACCCCAGCAGACAGCCCCTCACGGGCAGGGTATGCATCCCATATGCTGGCTGTCGCATGGGAGGAGGGTCCTGTCCTGTTGCTGAGTGAATGTTTGTGACCTGAAACAAGGAGACAGGAGAAGAGGTGGTTCCAGGGATGCCTGCGCTACCCTGTGGGCTGGGTCTCCTTTTGGATCCCTTGCTGCAGCCTCGAGGATGTTCTCACTCCCACTGCTGCTGCTGCTCTAACTTGTACCAAGCAGAAACATGTCTTGGCTTCCAAGCAGGCTGTCTGGGCAGGAGTGGAGGCACAGCTGCTTGCAGTGGGTTTTGGTGTGTCTCCACATGCTGTACTTTTCAAGAACAAGGAGACATGGGTTCTGTATCTTTGTGGAATATAGGAAACTGAGTGTTTTTCATCAGAAGCATTTAAAACTGAAGCTAGAAACAAATCATTCTCAGTTCTCAGACTGTGTTCACAAATTCTTTAGGCAGTATGAAATCTCAGATTCAGTCTCTTAGAGTTAAAAGAGATGTATTGCTGCTTTGGCCGGGAATCGAACCTGGGCGTCCCGCGTGGCAGGCGAGAATTCTACCACTGAACCATCAATGCTCCACCTGTCAGCAGCTGTGTGGGCACTCCCTTTAACCCCAGCCTTGGGCCTCCTTGTATATATGCTGATTCAACATTATAAGGCTAGATCTGATGCTGCCACATCTGCACAGCTGCGAAAACAGAAAGCTTAGACTCCAGAGCAGGAGGGAAAAGGCAGGAAGCAGAAGGGTGTATGCATGTGTATGTCAGGAGTTGATTTGCCTTCACACCTCAGGACAGAAACTAGAATTCAAGTCCTTCTCAGTAGCAAAAGTGCATGAGACTTTTTATGACTTTCTCCCCTCTGATGTTTGGGTCCTCCGTTGATTTGCCTTCACACCTCAGGACAGAAACTAGAATTCAAGTCCTTCTCAGTAGCAAAAGCGCATGAGACGTTTTATGACTTTCTCCCCTCTGATGTTTGGGTCCTCTCATTCCATTCCAAGTTCATTCTTGTGTTGAGCTGTTTAACTGTTCTCAGGTTTCACACCAGCCTCCTGCTGGAGACTGTCCAAGGCAGAAGTCAGAACAGCAGGAGTCTGCTTACAGGGGAGGGCATGAAGGCCATGCTTTCACAGCCAGTAGTGCTTCTCTGGACAACCCCGCTAGTGCTCTTCATGTGCTCACTAGGTGGAGAAGTGTGATCCCAGATTCATGGGCGTCCTTGGCTGCTGTGGCCTAGTGTGGTTGAGGAGATTGGCTCCTCCAGCAGGATCTCTATGTGAGGAAACTGGCCAGGAAAAGGTAAAAAAGCAGCACAGCGTTGCATTGGCCGGGAATCGAACCCGGGCCTCCCGCGTGGCAGGCGAGAATTCTACCACTGAACCACCAATGCTCCAGCTGTTCCCTGGAGCATCTGCAGAGCTCTTTGAAAGGGGCTGTCCCTATCATTACTTAGAGACAGGAGGTCTGGTAGATCACTGGGCCTCCCCTGGCTGGTTTGTCCAGTTGGGGAAACCAGACAGGTTTATGCAGAACCATCCTTGTGGGCCTTAATACACTGCTTTGGGAGTTGTAAACTATGAACTGGCATTCATCCATAGCCCTCAGACACATAAAGATCAAAGCAAGAGGCACCTCACTGGCCATTTGTGTAGCCCCTTCCTGAAGCACCCTCTCTGCTCCAATATCCACCAGCTCAGGAGCCAGCCTGCTTTGTGCTGTCTAGTGTGAACAGTGCCTGACACATAATTGGTGCTCCGCATGTTTTGCTATATTTAATCTTTAAATTGTTGTTTCTTTGAACAACCTTTTTGTGAGAGTGGTCACTGTCCCCCAGGACCACACATTTGTTTTTGAGCAGTTCTAATTACTATAAAGTCCTTGACATTAAGCGGGAACCACACAGACCAATACCTTTTAGACATGACTGGCCTTAAAATTCTTTAAGCCAACTTGAGACCCCCATTTATGCCACAGGTGAGCAGCGTGCCCACCATGATTGGATGCAAAGCAACGAGAGTGAGGCCAGGCAGTTGCTTCAGAAGTCTGTGGTCTCTAGACTGCCCCCCTCACCCCTTCACTAGTGTGTGCCTCTCCTGCCCCTCCATCTCCCTGGCGTCCCCAGGCTTCTCAAGGCACTCTTTCACGTACTCTTCAGAAACCAGAAGAGGCTTCTCTGCTACCGTGATGGAAACCCAATCTCCCTACCTGGAGATGCCAGAATTACCACAGCCAGCCCATCCTGGTGGATTTCCCACTGCTGTTCTATTCTGTTCAACGAGGTCGGCTGGTTCCCCCTCCTTGCCTTTGCTCACACCGTTCCTTCTGCACGCAAGGCCTGTTGCCTTCTCTCCCACAGCGAGTGGGGCCATTTGCCACCGTTGTCCCACGTGAGACTGCTCACTGCAGGGATGCTGTGGGCTTACAAAAGGTAGAGTCTTCGCCTTCGTGCCCATGGAGCTCTGAAAACAGACTCTGGTCTGTTATAGAACCAGGCCTCCCTCTGGGGCAGGGCCTGCCTTGGGAGGCGCCCCCCTGCAGGCGTTACCTCCCACAAAGGCTGGTCTCCCTCGGACCTGCTCCTCCGCCCTGTCAGCGTTGCTGCCCAGGGGGACAACATGGAGGCAGCATCTGCCCTTCTCCTCTCCCCGTGTTACATGAGCTACTAATGGCCTTCTATTTAGTTCTAGAAGCAGTCCCTCCTGCCCTTTCCCACTGCCTCAACCATATTTCAGGCCATCTTACCCCAATAGCAGCAGTGTTCCCCTGTGAGTTTCTTCCTTGGCCTCATTCTAGTCTCTTCTGTCAAACCAGCCCCCCAGCCCAGCTTCTCCAGAGGCATCTAATGAAGGCATAGGTCTGAGCTTGCCATCCGTTGCTAGAAAACTTTGACCGATCCTCTTTTCCTTGACTGTCTCCAGCTACCCCTCCCACACGCCAGACTCCTCGTCCTTCCCTAAGCATGCCACATCTTCTCAGCACCCTCTTCCTTTGGCTGGGTTCTTCCCTGTGCCTGAGATGCCCTGCCTGCCTCTCTTCACCTGCAAAATGTTTGTTAGTGTTTGTAAGCTCTAACTCCAGTGGCACTTCCCTGTCCTCTTGGACTGCCAGGGAGAGGAAGCCATTGCATCTTTTTGCTTCTCCAATATCAGAAGTGCCACTTTGCTACAATTACTTGTTTGTATGTGGATCTTGCCCATTACACTGGGGCCTGACTCAGCTGTGTGTCTCTCGGACTGTCCCTGTAAAGAATGGCACAGGTGCAGAGAACTTCCTGGATGCATGGATGGAGAGCTGAGCAAGCGTTGAATAAAAACAGTTGATCAACTGATGATGCGTTGCATATTTCAGTCCCCAATGAGATGTCCATTTGCATTCTCTTAGATTCCCAGAAGTGAGATAGCACCACCGTTCCTCATTCCATTGTACACAAAGGGAAACTGAGACTCAGAGCAGGGAAACCACATTGATGGAGCCAGCTTCTCCCAGCCAGCAGCAGAACTGGGACAACCGCCCTGAGATGCTTGGCTCCTGATTCCTCTTTCTAAACAGGTCATCTCCCTTCCTTATCCCAGCCCCAGGCCCTGGCGCCTGCAGAGGTAGCCTGGTTCTGCTGGCCCCACAACCCCCCTCTCCTCTCTCTCTAGGCTGGTCCGGGAGTTCGTGGCCCAGAACAACACAGTGCAGATCAAGCATGTGATCCAGACCCTGTCTCAGGAGTTTGCCCTGTCTCAGCACCCCCACAGCCGGAAAGGGGGCCTCATCGGCCTGGCCGCCTGCTCCATCGCACTGGGCAAGGTGGGCCCTTCCCCAAGTCACAGACATACCAGCAATGGCCTTGACTCTGACCAAGTCATCCAGATGCCTTCCTTCCCAAGACCCAGCAGGACATTGCAGACCTGTGTTTTATTGCTACCTTTCCACACCTAAGATGGTATTAAAGCCTGGTACCCCTGTCCCCATGCATGGCCACTTTCCTGGGAGGCCAACTTGGGGGATTCTTGGAGCTCAGCCCTCACACAAAGTTGCCTGAGCAACTTCAGGGAAGCTGGGGTGCTGCAGGCTGTGGGGCCGGGGTCTGATGCATTCTGAGCTGTCTTCTCCTCCTGCCCCGTTGCAGGACTCGGGGCTGTACCTGAAGGAGCTCATCGAGCCGGTGCTGACCTGCTTTAATGATGCGGACAGCCGGCTGCGCTACTACGCCTGCGAAGCCCTCTACAACATCGTCAAGGTGGCCCGGGGCGCGGTGCTGCCCCACTTCAATGTCCTCTTTGATGGCCTGAGTAAGGTAACTGCTCCTCCTCTGAGCTGGGCTGAGCTCGATCTAGCCCTTAACTTGACCTCTGGGACTTGGGCGCTTGTGTCCCTTTTCCTAAATGCAAGCAGAGCAGATAAGCATGTGGCTGCAAGGGACGCTTACTATCTGTTGAATCTCATATATTTTTTTTGTAAATGGGCTTGTATTTATGTTTTTTTTCATTTCTCTATCAATTCATTTTTATTGTGTTTTAGGAAAGTATCAGTCTGTCACACATTGGAGGAGAAAAACTGCTAGTCAGAGAAGTGCTAACCTCCCTGGTAGAAGGTGGGGATGGAGAGTCCCTCGTATAGACCACACTTCCCCTGTGCAGTGGGCAGTGGTTATTTCAGCTCACAAATGCTCTAGAAAAAGCCCGACGAGGAGCGACCACTTGACCCAGTCACAGCAGGGCACAGGGGAAGTCCTTGAACAGAAGGAGGACTCCGCTGCCTCTGGTCCCTGGCCAGGTCCCACTTTGTCCATCTCACTTCTCGCCTCTCAGATTTGCCACTGACAGAGGTGCCCGTTGGATGGTCCATGCTGCACCGAGGCCTTGGCCATGGGTTTGCAGGAGATTCCTTGTGTTACATTTGACCGTGACCATTGCCTCTGTGTCTCTCTCCTCTTGCTGTGCCTCTCATAGCTGGCTGCTGACCCAGACCCCAATGTGAAGAGTGGATCTGAGCTCCTCGACCGCCTTTTAAAGGTATTTGTACTTTGCCCCCACTTATAATTTTAGAACCTGTTTCTTCCATCTGTCTATACAGATTAGAAATTCCATCACTGGGGATGCTTTTTCTAATTTCTTCTAAACATTGTCATTTATACACAGTAAAAACTACATTTTGGTATGCAGGTCTATGACAAGAGTATGGAACTATGTCACCACCACACTCAAAACACAGAACTGTGCCATCACCCTGAATGTCCCCTTGTGCTGCCCCCACCTGGGGCAAAGGAGATTTCTGTTGCCTTTTACACCACCCTTCCCTGACAGCAGGGGCTGGGCGTTCAATCTATACCACAGAGGTGTAGCCTTTCACCATTCAGTTAGTTCTCTTGAATTTGATTCCTGCTTTCGGCCCATCAGTTTCACCTATCCTTTGGCCTGTAACAGGATGGATACTCCAGGGACCTCTCCTGCCTAGCTCAGGCTCTGCCATTTTCCTCTGTGGCCACCTGACCCTTAAAACCAGTCCTGGGCCAGGAATTCGGCCAGGTCAGGCAGCCCTGGTCTATGGCTCTGGGCAGCTCACATTCCTTTGATCCACAGGACATTGTGACTGAGAGCAGCAAGTTTGACCTGGTGGGCTTCATCCCCTTGTTGAGGGAGAGGATTTACTCCAACAACCAGTATGCCCGGCAGTTCATTATCTCCTGGGTAAGTCCGGCTCCTGCCGCTGTTACTCCAGCCATAAGGAGCCTCTGGTTTAGTGAAATTTGCTCCCTGGCACGCCCTTGGCAGTTTGGGTACAGAGAAGCCTCCTTGTTACCCCTCTGGTAGCCATTAACACTGATAATTTGAAAACACTTTACTCTGCTTGCTGCAGAGCCCATCATGTTTGCTCCTGCAGGGATCTGATTGTTTTCTTGTCCCAGGAGATTCCCAGATTTTTCTGTGAAGCCAATGGTGCTACTTCCAGCAGCCACCTTCTGTGGCTGTGTCTGTCCTTCCCCATCCATTGCCTTCTCCCCAGACATCTGAATCTCCCTAGAGGCAAATTACATAACCCCTGCCCTTTTAACTAAACCTAATAGCTGCTGGCCCCCCACCCCAGGGGACCCCTGCAGTGCCTCCGCAGCATCCCCCTCCTGCTGCCCAGGTTCCAGAGGATTAGGGAGGAGGGGACAGGCTTCTTGGCCAGTGTAACTTCTCTTCCTGGTTTCTTCCCTGCAGTGCCTCCGCAGCATCCCCCTCCTGCTGCCCAGGTTCCAGAGGATTAGGGAGGAGGAGACAGGCTTCTTGGCCAGTGTAACTTCTCTTCCTGGTTTCTTCCCCCCCCCGGTCAGATCCTGGTTCTGGAGTCTGTGCCAGACATTAACCTGCTGGATTACCTGCCAGAGATCCTGGATGGACTCTTCCAGATCCTGGGCGACAACGGCAAAGAGATTAGGAAAATGTGAGTGGAGAGAGGGGTGGGCATCTGCTGCCTGCCGGGCCCCTCAGTGTGCACATGTACCCCACACCCCAGACAGACAACAGCAGGGGAGCAGGAAGTTCAGTCCTCCTCCTGGCTCATGTGCTTCCGCTGTGAGGAGCTGAGCCCATCAGCCCCCAGCCTCTGAAAAATGTTCATCTGACAAGTTACATGGTGTGGTTGGCCTCCGAGTGGCCAACCTGGAGCAGAAATGGGCACTGGTTGAGGCTCCTCCAGCCCTGGCTGACGTGCTTTTTCTGTTCTCTTCTCATTGGTAGGTGTGAGGTGGTTCTGGGAGAATTCTTGAAAGAAATTAAGAAAAACCCCTCCAGTGTTAAGTTTGCTGAGATGGCCAACATCCTGGTGATCCACTGCCAGACCACGGGTGAGTGTGTGTATGCACACGGCCACCACCGCCTTGGAAACCCTTCCTCTCATCGTCTCAGCATCAGTGAGGGGCAAGGGAGGGTGCTGGTAGGAGTGTTGGCCAGTGTGACACAGGACCTTGGGAGCAGTGGAGTGGTGGATCTTTGTGATAGGGAGGTCCAGGTTCTCTGTCAACATGGAGGCCCTTTCAGTTGACCTGGCCTGGAATATGCTAAGATCTGGAGACCTTCTTGTTGGCGAGCTTGGCCTTAGCACTGAGAGTTGAAATACTTGGGGACTGGGATTGTGTATCAGCTTCTGTTGGGTATGAAACCACCGAAAAACATAATTGCTTAAAACAACAGTTACTTATTATTGATCTTGAGTCTACAGGCCACCTGGGTGGTTCTGCTCATCTGGGCCAGGCTTGGCTGGGCTCAATGGTGTGCCTACAGTCAGCTGGAGGGTAGGCTGGGGCTGGGTGGCCTATAATGGCCTCGCTCATGTCCTGCGGTTGGCACCTGTCAACAGGGGCAATGGGGCTATTGGTCCGTATCTCTCATCATCCAGCAGGCCAGCCCGGGCACATTCATGTGGTATCAGCAGGGTTCTAAGAGAGACGGTGGAAATGAGCAAGGTCCCTTGGCCTTGAGGCCTCGGCTTGAACCAGGCACACGATCACTTCCACCACATTCTGTTGGCCAAAGTAGCAAGGCCATCACAGATTCAAGGGATAGGGAAGTAAACTCCACTTCCTGGTGAGTGGAAGTGCAGGGTCGCATTACAGAGGGGCATGGGTTCAGGGAGGGGGAGAGGACTGTGGCTACCTTCTCAGCCTGGCACAAGATTATTATGCCATTCCGACCTGGTGTCTGTACGCACCTTTGGAAGGCAAAGCACCCAGGTCACAGAGAGGCTAGACGCAGTCAGCCCTTGGGTCCCCTTCCTCCAGTCCATCCTGCATGCGTGGTCAGTAGAAGGAGCACTCTAGAAGCTCATGCTGACCCCTCTGGAGCCCACCGATTCCCCTTCCAGACGACCTGATCCAGCTGATTGCCATGTGCTGGATGCGCGAGTTCATCCAGCTGGCCGGCCGGGTGATGCTGCCCTACTCTTCTGGGATCCTGACTGCAGTCTTGCCCTGCCTGGCCTACGATGACCGTAAGAAAAGTATCCTTCGCTCAGGGAGAGAAGAAATGAAAGCAGCCCTAAAGGAGGCTGTGAAGTTGAGGGACCCTAGAGTGGGAATAGGGGCTCCGTTAGGATTCATCACACCTCCACGCAGTCCCCAGCATCTAGAGAACAAGAGGTAGAGCTGAAGATGGATTGGGAAAGCCAGGGACATGGAACTCATGCTGGCTGTCCCCAAACCTCACCTGGTGACTTACAGATCTGGACCAGCTCTCCCAGGCCCCAAGGTTCCAACCCTCTGAGCTCATACTGGCCCAGAAAAGTGAAGAAAATCCTGTGGTGGGAGGGCCACCAGGAAGGGGCCCTACGAGAAAAAACAGGAGCATCTCACAGGGGCTCCAGTATGGCAGGGAGAACAGGGCCTCAGTTCAGGCTAGTTGTCTGCCTGCTAACTAAGCCTCTGGGAAGGACTGAGCCCCTGACCAGGAATACTAGTGACCTAAGGTTCAAGGAAGACTCCCAAGGGTGGGGTCACTCCTTACATCAGTGGACTCAGGCATCAAGGAGGTGGCCAATGTGTGCAACCAGAGCCTGATGAAACTGGTCACCCCTGAGGATGATGAGCCAGACGAGCCGAAGCCAGTGGGACAAAGGCAGACAGAACCCAACCCCGATGACTCCCTGCCAAAGCAGGAGGGGACAGCCAGTGGTGAGTAGACTCTGTCCCCCACCCCTCACCTCCCATGGAGGGCCCCAGGCAGCCAGAGGTCAGAGGACTTGACTTGGGGCCTCACTTAACCAACCAGGGCTATTTACATGTGTTAACTCATTTCACACTGCTAACAACCCAGTGAGGCAAGAACTATTATCCCCATTCTGCAGATGGGCAGGGAAGCCAAGCATCGTGACCAGGACCTGGCAGCTGGTACATGGGGGATTTGGACCCAGGCTATCTGCCTCTGGAGCTCATGCTCTCACTCTTACTGCCTCAAAGACCATCACGTTTTTCTTTAGTCTTTTTCTGGGCTCAACTACAGGAAATGTTTGTTTTCAATGTGGGGAGGTCTGGAGCACAGCGGAGGTACCAGGTGGCTGCGTGGTTCTCTTGATTCTTGGTCGTGGACATGCAGCCACCCACTGCCTTTACCGTGTGGGTCATTCTCAGAGGGAGGGTTAAGAAAGCTCTAGCTGTAGTTTATTCAGTACTTGGGAATTAATTCTATTGCCCAAATCAACGCCTTTAAAAAATGAAGTTGTTCTGCTCTTCTTTCAAACTCTTTTAACATTATTTCCTTGTTTATTTGTAACAAAAACAAAACCACTTTTATGCTGATTGGGGTCTGGATTGACTAAATGCTATCTAGAACTCTGATGTTTTTATATCTCTTGGGCCTCTGTCCTCGCTGGGAGGTCACTGATCAGCTTTGGGGTGATGTCCTCCTTTGCAGAATTAGCCAGAGAGTAAATTGATGCACACCTACACAAATCTTTAAGGGTAGCAGAGTAAGATCTGGAACCTGCCCACAGGAGCCAAAAGAATTGCTAAAATGTTTTCCCCCATTGCCATTCACGGACTTCTAAGCATCTGAGCAGAATGTCAAGCAGGCGTGCCCTGTGTGCCTCCTCTTGTGGGTTTGCTGGTAGCATTGAGCAGCGTTCCATGCTGGACCTGGCTCACGTGTCAGGTTACAGCTGTGCTGGCGCCACTGGGAGCCAGTGCAGCAAAACAGCTGGAGGCAGAGCAGTATTCAGCTGGAGCATTGGTGGTTCAGTGGTAGAATTCTCGCCTGCCACGCGGGAGGCCCGGGTTCGATTCCCGGCCAATGCAGCAGCTGAAGCCTTTTTGGCAGCTCCTGGAAAAAGAAAACTTGAGGATAAGTTAGTGTGGGCCTTCTAAGGGAAAAACTTTCTTGCTGGGGAAAACTAGAAGAATCTCAGGGATAGACATATTTTGAGAACTTTCATATGAGTGTTGTATTTTGGTTTTCTTTTTCTCATTTTAGAACATGTAAAAAGTAGAGAAAAATACAAAGAAGCAAAACAGTCCCCACCAAGAGACAATCAGTATTAAAATTTTGTCATATTGTTAACAGTTTTTTATTATGCAGTTAAGGTCATACAACTTAACAATTACACATCTCACTTTTTTCTGGTTTGCTGATGAATTTTTGTTTTGTTTTGCTTTATTTTGTTTTGGCTTTACACAAAAGTTAGTGCCTCTTAATCCATACAGTCAGAAAGTCGAGTAATGGTTGCCTGGGCCAGGAGGAGAAGGGGTACTGGGACTGACTACTAACAGATCCTGGTTTCTTTTGGGGGTGATAGAAATACTCTGGTATTGAATAGTGATGAGTGTTACACAATTTTGTGAATATACTAAAAACCACCCAGCTGTACACTTTAAAATGGTGAATTTTGTGGTAAATGAAGTTTTATATTATACAAATTGTATCTCAGTTTTTAAAAAGTTAGTACCCCTTCCCCCAAAGTGGAACCAGCAGTCCCTACCCCACCCTTTCTGTTTACGTGGCAGCAAACCAAGCCCTCTGGAAGGGAATTGTTCCGCTCCATAGTTCATGGCAGCAGACAAAAGCCTCTCTGCAGGCTGTAGCATTGGTGGTTCAGTGGTAGAATTCTCGCCTGCCACGCGGGAGGCCCGGGTTCGATTCCCGGCCAATGCATCTGACTTACCTTTTCAGATAGTTTCTCTAAGCATTCTTCAAATAGCTGCCTACTCAGGAGAGTATTATCCTAAACCAGGATACATTCAGGCAGCTTGGCTGCAGATTTTACTGCCTCATAAACAGCATTTCCACAGATGAAAAGCTCACTTTATAGTAGTTCCCAGAGATGGCAAAAGCTAATTTGGGGTTTCACATCTACCCTCAGCCTCACTCAGCTTGTAACTAATCACTAGTCTTTTACCAAAGTGCGCACGACAAGGCCCCAGCAAGCCAAGAGACAGAGATGATTAATCTAGTTGGTCAACAGTTCAATCCCAGGCTCTGTGCGTACTCTTCCAGCTGGCCGGCCGGGTGATGCTGCCCTACTCTTCTGGGATCCTGACTGCGGTCTTGCCCTGCCTGGCCTCACTGTTCCAGCCCTGGTCCACCTGGCTGAAGACAGGAAGCTAAACTTCATCTTCCTCGTAGTATCTTTCTCTCCCACCCAGTCTGTGCTGATGCATCCACAGCACCATGTTCTTAATGGCACATGTATACATGTGCACATGCACACACGCATACACACCCCAGCCTCCAGAACTTCTCCCGCCTCTTCTTCCCACAGGGACCTCCAGGCAAGGCAGGCCTCATTTGCGCCATGCTGTTTCCAGCCCCTCTCCACTTGCTCCAGCTCCCCCTTCACTCTGTCCCTTGGGGGAGCCACAGCACAGAGTCCTTTCCCTGATTCTGAGTTTTTACAGCACTTACCCTGTCCAGGCTATTTCCCTCCATGGCATCTCCTGATTGTCTCAGGTGTCACAGCAAAGATTCTGGGGCCTGACCAACCTGCCTGTGAGTCCTGGCTCTGCTGACTTCATATCTTTTGCCCTTGGGCAGCTGCTTTGCCTTTCTAAGGTTCACATTCCTTGTTTGTTAAATAGAGAAACAATAATAATGCCCAACCTGTGGTGTGGCTGTGAGTTTCAGTTCCCAGGATACATTCAGGCAGCTTGGCTGCAGATTTTACTGCCTCATAAACAGCATTTCCACAGATGAAAAGCTCACTTTATAGTAGTTCCCAGAGATGGCAAAAGCTAATTTGGGGTTTCACATCTACCCTCAGCCTCACTCAGCTTGTAACTAATCACTAGTCTTTTACCAAAGTGCGCAGGACAAGGCCCCAGCAAGCCAAGAGACAGAGATGATTAATCTAGTTGGTCAACAGTTCAATCCCAGGCTCTGTGCGTACTCTTCCAGCTGGCCGGCCGGGTGATGCTGCCCTACTCTTCTGGGATCCTGACTGCGGTCTTGCCCTGCCTGGCCTCACTGTTCCAGCCCTGGTCCACCTGGCTGAAGACAGGAAGCCAAACTTCATCTTCCTCGTAGTATCTTTCTCTCCCACCCAGTCCGTGCTGATGCATCCACAGCACCATGTTCTTAATGGCACATGTATACATGTGCACATGCACACACACACACACACCCCAGCCTCCAGAACTTCTCCCGCCTCTTCTTCCCACAGGGACCTCCAGGCAAGGCAGGCCTCATTTGCGCCATGCTGTTCCCAGCCCCTATCCACTTGCTCCAGCTCCCCTTTCACTCTGTCCCTTGGGGAAGCCACAGCACAGAGTCCTTTCCCTGATTCTGAATTTTTACAGCACTTACACTGTCCCGGCTGTTTCCCTCCATGGCATCTCCTGATTGTCTCAGGTGTCACAGCAAAGATTCTGGGGCCTGACCAACCTGCCTGTGAGTCCTGGCTCTGCTGACTTCATATCTTTTGCCCTTGGGCAGCTGCTTTGCCTTTCTAAGGTTCACATTCCTTGTTTGTTAAATAGAGAAACAATAATAATGCCCAGCCCGTAGTGTGGCTGTGAGTTTCAGTTGAGATTTTTACATGTGTCGCTCACAGCAAACACTCTCAGTAATGGGCGCTTTAGAGTTAAGCTGTTTTAATACATGTTGATAATATAGCCATCGACTTCGTGAGACACTCAGGGCAGGGCTTTTGCTCGTTTGTTTTTTATCATCGCTATTGCCCAGGTGGTAGTGGGCGCACAGTGGGTTCTCAGTGAGAGATCACAGAGGGTCAAGGATGGAAGTTCATGTGGCACACATGAGGAGCAGAGCTGTAAATAGGATTTCCAGTGGAGGGCCTGTGACCTCCATGGGTGTACATGTAATGGAATTCATTCATTTGCAAAGCTGCAACTGGATTGGGTTTATCAGCACCTTCTGTGGTCACCACAGATGCAGGTGCATCGGACCCAGGACCTTCCTGTAAGGAGCTCAGGGACAGATCCGCAGATGAGTATCTGTAGTGACACTGGGCGCAGTCACAGAGGCCTGTGCCAAGGACTGGGGGGCCCAGAGGAGGGAGCATCAGCTCTGCTGGGGGGACCAGTCTCGGCTTCATAGAGATTATTTGATCTGTGTCTTTTCTTTCTCCTTAGCTTCCCATCTTCCCCTACTGCCATTTTTAAATTCTGATTATAAAGAAAATACATGTTCCTTGTAGGATTTTGGAAAGAGCAGAGAGCTTTAGGGAGAGCTGTCCCCATAATCTCACTCAGAAATAATCACTGCTGCTGATGGGCCGGCCCGGTGGCGCACTGGAGAGTGTGCCGCTTGGGAGCGCGCCGAGGGTTCGGATCCCATGTGGAGACCGGTTCCCGCTCACTGGCTGAGCGCGGTGCGGGCGCAACACTGAGGGTTGCGATCCTGTTGCCGGTCCCCAGTACAGGCATGACACCGAGGGTTGCGATCCCATTACCGGTCAGTAAAAAAAAAAAGACAAAGAGGAAAAAAAAAAAAAAAAAGAAAAAAAAAAAAAAAAAAGAAATAATCACTGCTAATTTTGGGGTGCATTTACTTCTATTCTTTTTTTTTTTTTTTAGTGCATATACATACCACTTGTGGGTTTTGTGTTTTGTTTTTCCACAAAAATAGGATCACAGGACATAAAGTGATATACAACCTCATTTCTTCATTCAATAGATAATGAACATTTTTCCAGGTTAGTCAACATTATTCTATATTTTAAAAA